CTGATCAGGGAGAACTGTAACTGAATTTCAGGTTTCTGATTCTTGATGGATTTTTTCCCCCTTTTGGCAGACTCGCAGGTATTTTAGTTGAATCAAGCATGCTTAATATATAGGCTATTTTATAAACATTTAGCTCTGCTGTGAGAGCAGTCTAGAGATGCCACAATGCAAAGTCCTCCCCAAATAATCAGGATAGAGATACCTTATGCACTTTATGCCAAGAATGGAAAGACACTTTTGCCTTGGCTGTGGCTCTAATTTCCACCATCTGCCTCTGCGATATCTTAAATGGGCTTTCTTTTCCTTTGACACTTTACCCTTTCTCATTGAGAGCAGTCATATGAATTGGGGAGCAGGACACAGGAAGATGCGGCTGTTCCTCATGTCTGTTCCCTCATTTGTTATGTTATTTCCAGTGAAATCACTAGCCATAACTTTCAGCTTTCTTTTCTTCCTTTTTACTGAGGTAAAATTGACATGTAACAATATATTAGTTTCAGGTATACAACATAATGATTCAATTTCACCTTCTTGAGTTTATCATGTTGGTTACTGTGATTTTAATTTTATTACCTAAATGAAGAACATGAGAGACAGAAAACCAAATCCTTCCATTATCTTGTACTTAGTCAAGGGCAGTGCCAAAAGATTTTAATTTTAAATTGCCTCAATTTGTTGTTTTCAATTTTTTTTCTAGTATAAAATCATTAAGACAAAATAAAGAATTTAGGATGAATTATGTGAGCTTGGACAATTTACTTAACATTTCTGTGCCTGTTTCCTCATCTGAACCCATTTCCTGAGCTACACAAAATGTAGAACACTTCATATTTCATTTTTTGAGTAACATATGATTGTCCAATATTTTAATTCTATCTTTAAAAAATACCCACAAATCTGGAAATGCTATTATTTATGCATATGATGTTTGTTTGATGGACTCATGGTTTTCAACTTTATTTATTCACCATTTTTATTACATCTTAGACTTCTCTGCTATTACTTTTATTTCTAGACTTCATCCATCCTAAGTTCTTGTAGTTAAAATTTGGTAGTTGGTAAAATTTTGACTTATCGGAAAATGTCTTTAGTTCACTCCTATTCTTGTGAGATAGATTTGACAGACACACAATTATAGGTTGACTATCAGATTCTCTCGGAACTTTGAATAAAATATTCTGTGTTCCGATGCCCTTTATTCCAGAAAGTTCTGCTCTCAGACTGACTGCTTTTCTGGAAAAGGTTATTTGACTTTATCTGTCAGACTTTAAATTTTATTTTTGTCTTTGATGCTGTGTAGTTTCACCACTTTGTGTCCATGTGTGAATTATTTCCCCTTTACTCCACTTTTCCTCAGAGTTTATGTCCCATGTTCTCTACTACAAGTATGATTATCTAATTAGAAAGTCTAATTCTTTTTCTTATATTCTTTAAAATCTTTTACATTTTCCAGTTTCTCATTCATGTTGCACTCTGGGTAATTTCTTCACATTTTCTGTCTCCCCGTCTATTAATTTTCCCTTGAATACTATATTACGTCACTTAACATATCGTATTACCTTGCTTATATTTTTAAATGTTATGTTTAGATGACCTTCAATGATATCGTCTCCCATTGCTGTTATTTTTATAACCTTGTATTTTTCGTTTAATATTTTAAAATTAAATGAAAATTTTTAGCATTTAAATATCTCCACCCTTTCAGAGATCTGTAAAGTTATTTTTCTTTCCTTTTTCTCTAACTCATATTTCTTGTGTGCTTAGTGATCTTGGTTGCAAGGTCTGATTTGTATGAATTTGATATGTTGAAATCATATGGCCCTTACCTGGTGATGCTTTCCTTCAAAAATTATTTGCACATATTTTTATAGGGAGCCTAGGGGTCCTCCTGACCTATGATCACTTTAGTACTTTTTAAAAGTCTCAGGTTTGATGTGAAATGCTCATATCCAGTTCCTTCACCTTGCTGGAGTCCCACCTGAGTCTCCACAACATTGAGCTAATCTGTATCTGCCCTCAGGGCAACCTAATTGAAGTATCTTCCCACCTTGCCTGTTCCTGGCCTAGGTGAAAGCTCCAGTCTATTTCTCAGGTCATGTGATCTCTAAGATTTAATGAACATTTTCAAAGAGCAGAGAGGACCTGCTTAGTTTTTGAAAAACCAAATAACCTTTACTGGTTTCACTCAGTGATGCAATTCCAATAAAAGTATACTTGCTGGAGAAAGCGTCTTTCTAACACCAAACAGTAGAGATTTAAGCAACGTTGGTGCTTAAAAGGTTTCAAGAAACAGTCGCCAATATAAAGGGGGTGATCAAAGGGAAAGAAATCACTAAATTTTTCTTTC